AAACCAATACTGCCTGATCACTGAGGCTATATGAAGGGACAGTAATCAGGGTGGTGATGGAAGTCCAGGTGTGCGCAATGTGGGTTAGCAGGACCGGTGGTTAGTAGACCGGTGACGTTGAGCGCCGGAGGGAGGGAGCAGGAGAATGCGTGACAAAGGCCTATTTTACTTGCATAAAACAGTTTGATGGACACCTGGTTAGTGAAAAATAAAAAAGCTGGATAAGCTACCTCTGAATGATAACGCAATTACCCAAAACACAGCAGAGAGATCAGTTCATTAATTGAGGTTGTTCAGATATTAAATTCAGTCTTGGGATGAGACCTTAAACCGATGTTCTAAACAATCTACATTTTCTAAGTCACTCCAACAAAACTATTCTGATGTAAGTTGATCTAATATTTTGTCATTTTTTAAAAGTTATATATACAGTGGGGAGAACAAGTATTTGATACACTGCCGATTTTGCAGGTTTTCCTACTTACAAAGCATGTAGAGGTCTGTAATTTTTATCATAGGTACACTTCAACTGTGAGAGACGGAATCTAAAACAAAAATCCAGAAAATCACATTGTATGATTTTTAAGTAATTAATTTGCATTTTATTGCATGACATAAGTATTTGATCACCTACCAATCAGTAAGAATTCCGGCTCTCACAGACCTGTTCGTTTTTCTTTAAGAAGCCCTCCTGTTCTCCACTCATTACCTGTATTAACTGCACCTGTTTGAACTCATTACCTGTATAAAAGACACCTGTCCACACACTCAATCAAACAGACTCCAACCTCTCCACAATGGCCAAGACCAGAGAGCTGTGTAAGGACATCAGGGATACAATTGTAGACCTGCACAAGGCTGGGATGGGCTACAGGACAATAGGCAAGCAGCTTGGTGAGAAGGCAACAACTGTTGGCGCAATTATTAGAAAATGGAAGAAGTTCAAGATGACGGTCAATCACCCTCGGTCTGGGGCTCCATGCAAGATCTCACCTTGTGGGGCATCAATGATCATGAGGAAGGTGAGGGATCAGCCCAGAACTACAGGGCAGGACCTGGTCAATGACCTGAAGAGAGCTGGGACCACAGTCTCAAAGAAAACCATTAGTAACACACTACGCCGTCATGGATTAAAATCCTGCAGTGCACGCAAGGTCCCCCTGCTCAAGCCAGCGCATGTCCAGGCCCGTCTGAAGTTTGCCAATGACCATCTGGATGATCCAGAGGAGGAATGGGAGAAGGTCATGACGTATGATGAGACAAAAATAGAGCTTTTTGGTCTAAACTCCACTCGCCGTGTTTGGAGGAAGAAGAAGGATGAGTACAACCCCAAGAACACCATCCCAACCGTGAAGCATGGAGGTGGAAACATCATTCTTTGGGGATGCTTTCTGCAAAGGGGACAGGACGACTGCACCGTATTGAGGGGAGGATGGATGGGGCCATGTATCGCGAGATCTTGGCCAACAACCTCCTTCCATCAGTAAGAGCATTGAAGATGGGTCGTGGCTAGGTCTTCCAGCATGACAACGACCCGAAACACACAGCCAGGGCAACTAAGGCGTGGCTCCGTAAGAAGCATCTCAAGGTCCTGGAGTGGCCTAGCCAGTCTCCAGACCTGAACCCAATAGAAAATCTTTGGAGGGAGCTGAAAGTCCGTATTGCCCAGCGACAACCCCGAAACCTGAATGATCTGGAGAAGGTCTGTATGGAGGAGTGGGCCAAAATCCCTGCTGCAGTGTGTGCAAACCTGGTCAAGACCTACAGGAAACGTATGATCTCTGTAATTACAAACAAAGGTTTCTGTACCAAATATTAAGTTCTGCTTTTCTGATGTATCAAATACTTATGTCATGCAATAAAATGCAAATTAATTACTTAAAAATCATACAATGTGATTTTCTGGATTTTTGTTTTAGATTCCGTCTCTCACAGTTGAAGTGTACCTATGATAAAAATTACAGACCTCTACATGCTTTGTAAGTAGGAAAACCTGCAAAATCGGTAGTGTATCAAATACTTGTTCTCCCCACTGTATATAATCTAAGTAAGTTAGATCTATAAACGTTTTATAGATATACAATTAGGGGAGCCTAAATATATATAATCCGTTTTGAATAAAGCAGTCAAATTTAAGGTGAGTGTGTTTGGGGGAAACTGCCCCCTGCTCCAATGCCCTCCGGCAATCCAATGCAAGTCAATGGTACCTAAATTAGCATTTTCCAAATCATGTCCAAATCATCTACAAGTAACTTAATTGAGTTACACAATCATTTTTCTGATACTTTAGGATTATTTGGACATGATTTGGCACAAAATTAGAAGAGGGACCTTACATCAAAACCTCATCATAATGAGAATATGAATAGTGAGATGTGCAATGATTTAATTAATTAAAATAAGTCCGAGTAAATAAGTAATTTGATCAATTAATAATCTGTCCTGTTTGTTGGATGGCCACATTGCTTTTCACACATTCAGCTCTTTCTGCAGAATCTTTATATGAATGTGTCAAATTGTATGTACTCCCCCGTGACCACACCACCAACCACTCAACATAAACATAAAGTGTGTCTTGTAGCTGATCAGTGGTTACATCACATCTAGAATCAAGTCCAATAAAAATGGACTGGGTTCTGAAATAGAAGCCTCTCAAAGACAAAATGACTGTGATCGGAGTTCATATTTTGCGAATGTATTTTTTGGGTGCTCTTAGTTGTGTTTCTGACATCGAACATTTGGTGCTACATGGACTTAGTACTAGGCATTCTGAGACAGTCAAATTAACCTGCCATGCCAAAACTGCAAAGGGATGTTACAGATAGAAACCAGACAAAAACAAATCTCCCAAATGAAAATTAGGATGGATTCTTAGAGGGGCACCAATCAATGTTCCACTTGCTGATAACATCAGGGGGGCGGTGTGTCACTCTCGGCTAATGCGATTGAGCGGTGGCAAGGAGCTTAGTGGCAAATTAGATAAGATTGTAAACATGCCAGGGGAACACAGAGACACCGATCGATCAGGCCAGTCTGGGATTAACTAATTACCCTGGCTGCAAGAGGTTCTGAGGTGCTGTTGGAGCCACAGAGAAACCAGATCACATTCTAGCAATCTCCTACTCCACTAGCTCTCACACACTCTTTATATTTCTTACTCCTTTTACTAGGTATAGGCCTACATGTGTTATGTAAAATGCAGACTCTAGCATGTTGAGATGTGATGGCAGAGGTTTATGAATGAGTGGGAAATATAGGAGAAGATGGTGGTGAGGGAGAGATGAGAAAAAGGTGGGGTTTGGGGAGTGAACAGAGGTCAGTGGGAAAGAAAAGAGAGAGAGAGGGATGAGGCAAAAGTAAGAGAAAATACAGAAAAACAATAAGATGCAAAAAAAAATGTGAAGTGTGTGACTGAAAAGGAGGGATGTAGAAAGCAAATGAGGGGACAATAAAAGCCTATAATAGTTTGCTACAGGCAGCTAGAGTGGCGCAGTGGTCTAAGGCAATGATAAACTTGGATTAGCAAACACAACGTGCCATTGGAACACAGGACTGATGGTTGCTGATAATGGGCCTCTGTACGCCTATGTAGATATTCCATTAAAAATCTGCCGTTTCCAGCTACAATAGCCATTTACAACATTAACAATGTCTACATTGTATTTCTGATCATTTTGATGTTATTTTAATGGACAAAAAAATTGCTTTTCTTTCAAAAACAAGGACATTTCTAAGTGACCCCAAACTTTTGAACGGTAGTGTATGTCCAACAATGTCTTGATCATTGTAGATAATAGCTTAGCATGGAGGTGGTGGTTATACAGTAAATAACAGGGATAATGCTTACAGGAACTGAACTCTCAATAAAACCTGTGAAAGCAGGCCAGCCCTGAAGGAGAATTCATCCTCAGGGGACAGACAAGCGGACAGACTCTCCCAGGGTATGTGTGTGTTTGTGTGTGAGTGCACAGTAGGCTCCTCACTCACTTCTCATGATACTTGCCATGAGCTAGTGTTGTCTTCTCACTGCTGTCTTCTCTTTGTCCAGGTTTTTCCATTAATTTGCTCTAACGAATGTAAAGGTATGCTATTCAATTGAAAGTCAAGGACATTTTTTGTAGTAGATGTATGGCGTGTGACAAGTTTGCCCTCTTGTGGAATTCTAGCACTATGGTGGAAAGTTCCACACAAAACAACATGCAAAAAATAAGAAAAAAACGATAATAGAGATGTTCTATTTATTTAGCAAATACAATAAAATCATATTTCAATTAAAATCATTATGTGAAAGTTTCTCTTACATAATCCCATCCTATACATTACCTTTCTACAATTCTGACAAAACAATTTCTACAGAGTCTGGAAATAATCTAGTAGCATTTTCCATTTCATACACTGCTACTAGTCCCGCGTAGCTCAGTTGGTAGAGCATGGCGCTTGCAACGCCAGGGTTGTGGGTTTGATTCCCAAGGGGGACCAGTATGAAAATGTATGCACTCACTACTGTAAGTCGCTCTAGATAAGAGTGTCTGCTAAATGACTAAAATGTGAAAATGTACTGTACCATCATACTGGCCTTGACTTGTGTGATCATCACACACAAGGACCCATGCATGTAAGCACGGACACACACATGACTGAGATGACAATGAACATAAATTCGATCAAGTATTGTATGTCAGATAGATCTGAATTTGATATGTCCCAACATTTAAAAAACTACAGCTCTAATCCTGATTTCTAAAAACTAAATCTCCTGGGTGTTCACAACCACTACACTTTCACATGTACAGTATGTGAGTCCACCATTTCTTGGAATCTTGTAGGCCTAGGAATTAAAGTCCATTGTCAAGGCGATCGACGACAGAGTAGATTACCAAGGTGTAGTAGTAGAGTAGGCACTTAGTGACAGATGAATTCTGATATGTTGGCTGGTAGACAGTGTGCATATTGGTCTGTGTCCTATTCTCTTCTGATTTGGTGAAGATTAAGGAGGATGGTTAAGAGTACTGCTGAGTGAATTTCTGGTGGAACTCCTTCACTTTAGCCAGTAAGATCTTCAGCTTGTCTGTGGGCGGCAGAATGGTCATCCTGGAACAAGGAGGGAGAAAATGAAAGAGAACATCATTAAAGAGCTGTAAAATAAATCATATACTCCACACCTTGGTAATCTACTACAGCTTTGACTTTGAACAGAAAGCAGTGCATTGGAAATGATTGATGACAAACGTTACTTATGTTGCATGCATTTCTACTTTGGGATGTACAGCAAAAAGGGACAGTTTCACCATAACGTACTATGCCCATTTTACGGTGAGAGAGGTTGTGATAACATGTTTGAGCAAACTGTGTTGGCCATACCTGAAGTGGTAGGTCCCGTCTTTCTGTCCAAAGCCACTTCCTGGCACCAGACAGATGCCAGTCTCCTCCAACATCTTCATACAGTAGAACATGTCTGGTGCCTGGCCCAGAGCCTGGAGAGAGAGGCATAAATTACAGTATTAAAGCACTTTCACAAGCATATGTGAATTACGGTATTGCAGTAGGTTCACACATCCATAGAGTAAGTATTTCACAACCAGATTAATAAAAGGATGTTGTAGAATATGTCTCACTTAATGTTTTTAGCCCTTTTTCTAAAAGCTTTTTCTTTTAATGGTTGCTCACAATGTAAAGAGCTTTGTGATTTGTCTGTAAACAAAAAGCACTCTACAAATGCAATGTATTATTATTATTCAAATAAAATTGAAATGAATTTCCTGAATTTGACTTATTTCAGTTCCTAACAGCAGAGCAGCAGTAATGTGGGGCTGACTAACCTTCGCCTCCTTGATGGCTTTCTTAGGCAGGCTGATGTTGGGGAATGAGTACATGGCTCCCTGGACAGGGTTACAGGTGATCCCAGGTACAGTGTTCAGAATCTCCTCTGTCAGCTTGGCCTTCTCTGCCAGCAGACTGAGGGTCGCTGTTCGCTCCTGGACACAGGGTAGACGGTGTGTGGGTGTGTTTGATTGCCGCATGGGCAATCAAAAATGGTAGGGGTAAAAATTATCTCTCATTAATTACCAATGTATCACCTTGCGAGGATAATGGCACTGAGCCTTTTTCTAAAATGTTTTATGAGTTTGAGAACACATTGGGAGGAATCTTAGACCATTCCTCCATACAGAATCCTTCCAGATCCTTGATATCCTTCGTCTGAGCTTATGGACTGCCATCTTCAATTCAAACCACAGGTTTTCAATGGTTTTCAAGTCTGGAGACTGAGATGGTCATTACAAAATGTAGCCAATTAACAATTTATTTGTGGATTTTGATGTGTGCTTGGGGTTATTGTCTTGCTGGAAGATTCACTTGCGGCCAAGATTCAGCCTCCTGGCAGAGGCAAACAGGTTTTTGGATAAAATGTCTTGGTACTGGGTAAAGTTTATGATGCCGTTGACCTTAACAAGGGCCCCAGGACCAGTGGAAGCAAAATAGCCCCATAACATCAAAGATCGACCACCATATTTTACAGTAGGTATGGGGTTCTTTTCTGCATATGCATTCTGTTTTCGACACCAAACCCACCAATGGTGTGCGTGGCCTAAGAGCTCTATTTTCATGTCATGTGACCAAAGCACCGGTTCCAATCCAAGTGTAAATGGCTCTGGATAATAGCGTCTGCTAAATGACTAAAAAAAAGTCAATGCCGTTTAGCAAACTCCAGGCGTTTACATTTGTTAAATGACGTGAAAATAGAGCTCTTTGGCCACGCACAGCAGTGATGGGTTTGACATCTAAATGAGAATGTATGAGCAGAAAAGAACCCCATACCTACTGTAAACTATGGTGGTGGATCTTTTATGTTATGTGGTTTGAATTGAAGAGGGCAGTCCATATGCGCAAAACAGGGGTGTCAATAATTTTTACCCCTACCTTTTTGAGAAAAAAAGTTTTACTTGTTAAACAAAATCTATTTTTCGGAGCTATTTTATTAGTATAAAATAATATAATTTCCCCCATTTTTTGGAGCACACAATATTGCTCAGTATTTGATATATTTATTTTATACAGTCATTTTTGCTCATCTTTATCAAGGGTGTGAATAATTTCGGAACCCACTGTATATTAAATATGTGTCCCTATCAATGTTGACAGTCCGGTAAGTCATTTTGGATAAAAATGTCTGCTAAATGACCTTATTACCAAATTATTACCTTCATGAAGGTGGTGTAGGAAGGTTCTCCTGGCTGTGGGGAGTTGACCACCAGGTCCATGAGAGCCTGACCAGGGACGGGGGGACACAGTCTGACCGACACCAGCTTAGTGAGCTGGGCTTTCACCTCTGGGTCCATGTTGATCACCTCCATGTAACCCCCACGGAAACCACACCTGGGAGAGAAAGGGGGGAGACCAGTTACAGTGGTTCATAAGGCAACACATCAAAATGTACCATTACCATATCTATTGGTGATACAGTTTAAATTAAGTCATATAATGGTTGATATGTCGAGTCAGGTTACTGAATATTGCTCAAGGTTTCTACAAAAAATTATGCAGATTCAAACTCAGTCCTCTTGGCCTGTTTGTATATTGGTTGTGAACGGTTCAGGGTATGAGTATGAAAGAGTGGGAGAAAATGTCTTACTCTCCCATGTAGCACTTGGAGGTGGAGTGGAAAGATGCCAGTTCTACAGTGTTCGAGTACTGTGGTCCCAACTCAAACAGCACCTTCTTAAAGGAGTGGAACTGGCAACCCTCCGCATACACATTATCCTGGTACACCTAAGGGACAGGAGAAGAGAGAAGGAGATGTTAGTAGTATATGTAAAGGTAAGCACAGTTGAAATTGTGTTTCTGAGGAGGATCAGGATGGTATTGGTAAGGGACAGATCTAAATTTACTAGGGGGGAGGCTGGTCCAACTCAAGGTGTCATTTTAAAAAATCACCCCCCTCCCCCAAAATAAACTATGTTTTCACATGACCATCCCCTTGTACTGTAAAATTAATAGAACCCCCTCCCCCCTCAGAGAATTAACTCAAAATAATGTTTATGACCACAAAAAACAATAACTGTAGCGACCCTGTGTTTATAAACGTGGATATCTACTTTGCTTTTGTGTCACAGTCAATGCCACACAGGGCTACAGGCCAGAAGGTTGAGGGTTCGCCGAGCACCACAGTGGAGCTCACTCTCCCTGCCTGTTTCATTACTTCACGATCAGAGCCGGTTTCAGACAATGATCAGCTAGGGGGAAATCAGATTTTCAACATTTTGATGCCATATTTATATTTACATGAAATATACTGTATGCAACACATTCTCCACCAACATGTTTCTGTGGCAATGCACTACACAACCAATAAACAAAACATACTGACTTCGGGCACTTCAATATCATGGTTTGCGTTTTCAACACGACAATAAATAGACTATGTCAATCTGGATAAACAGAAAACTCCCTTGTAGGGAGGGATGGTCATGTGAAAAGACTTGGCATGGGCCCCAGATCCTCAAAAAGTTATACAGCTGCACCATCGAGAGCATCCTGACCGGTTGCATCACCGCCTGGTATGGCAACTGCTCGGCATCTGACCGTAAGGCGCTACAGAGGGTAGTGCGTATGGCCCAGTACATCACTGGGGCCAAGCTTCCTGCCATCCAGGACCTATATACTAGGCAGTGTCAGAGGAAAGCCCAAAACATTGTCAAAGACTAGTCATAGACTGTTCTCTTTGTTACCGCACGGCAAGCGGTACCAGAGCGCCAAGTCTAGGACCAAAAGGCTCCTTAACAGCTTCTACCCCCAAGCCATAAGACTGCTGAACAATTAATAAAATAGCCACTTTTGTGGAAGCACCTTTGGCAGTGATTACAGCCTCAAGTCTTCTTGGGTATGACGCTACAAGCTTGGCACACCTGTACCTGGGGAGTTTCTACCATTCTTCTCTGCAGATCCTCTCAAGCTCTGTCAGGTTGGATGGGGAGTGTCGCTGCACAGCTATTTTCAGGTCTCTCCAGAGATGTTTGATCGGGTTTAAGTCCGGGCTCTGGCTGGGCCACTCAAGGACATTCAGAGACTTGTCCCGAAGCCATTCCTGCGTTGTCTTGGTTGTGTGCTTAGGGTCGTTGTCCTGTTGGAAGGTTAAACTTCGCCCCAGTCTGAGGTCCTGAGTGCTCTGGAGCAGGTTTCATTAAGGATCTCTCTGTACTTTGCTCCGTTCATCTTTCCCTCGATCCTGACTAGTCTCCCAGTCCCTGCTGCTGAAATATATCCCCACAGCATGATGCTGCCACCACCATGCTTCACCGTAGGGATGGTGCCAGGTTTCCTCCAGACGTGACACTTTGTAAGTGGCTTTGGACAGAAAGACGGGACCTACCACTTCAGGTATGACGCTTGGCATTCAGGCCAAAGAGTTCAATCTTGGTTTCATCAGACCAGAGAATCCATTGATTGGAGTCCACCTATGGTAAATTCAATTGATTGGACATTATTTGGAAAGGCACACACCTGTCTATATAAGGTCCCACAGTTGACAGTGCATGTCAGAGCAAAGGAAGGAATTGTCCGTAGAGCTCAGTGACAGGATTGTGTCAAGGCACAGATCTGGGGAACGGTACCAAAAACATGCTGTAGCATTGAAGGTCCCCAAGAACACAGTGGCCTCCATCATTCTTAAATGGAAGAAGTTTGGAACCACCAAGACTCTTCCTAGAGCTGGCCTCCCGGCCAAACTGAGCAATCGGGGGAGAAGGGCCTTGGTCAGGGAGGTGACCAAGAACCCGATGGTCACTCTGACAGATCTCCAGAGTTCCTCTGTGGAGATGGGAGAACCTTCCAGAAGGACAACCATCTCTGCAGCACTCCACCAATCAGGCCTTGATGGTAGAGTGACCAGACGGAAGCCCCTCCTCAGTAAAAGGCACATGACAGCCCGCTTGGAGTTTGCCAAAAGGACTGAGTAAAGGGTCTGAACACTTATGTAAATGTGATATTTCAGTTGTTGTTGTTTTTTTACTTTGGCAAAGGGTAAAGTCTACAAAACGTAGTCCACTCTGATCGTAACAGATTGTAGTTTTGGGAACAGAAAACGGCATTGAGATCAAATGTTTCATTGATGAGAAAGTTTGCTAAATGTCAGCCAAAATACATCTCAATCCATCTTCTCCCACTGCCGGCCACTGGGCTTCCTCTCACTACCATATTTGGTAGTGAGTGGAAACGCCAAGCGGATGCTTCACATTTATCCATCCGGTGAAATATCTGTCTCATTGTTCTGTCTGTGGCATTACAGCTGGAACTTAATTTGGCCAAAGAAAATGTCTAAACAGAATGAAACAAAACACTTGCTAACTGTTTTAAACCCTGACAAAAGTTTTGAACAGGCTATATTGCATCAATTACCGACAAAGGCAAGTACCTACCATACCCAACAAATGACAAAACTAGGCTAATGTTATTTATTTTACAACAGACCTACTTATAATCTATCTTAAACTAAATATGGAGCACACAATTAAAAAGACAGATCTAATTTAATTTAGCCAATGAAAATGTCTCAACAGAATTAAACAAAACAGGTGTTTGCATATTTAAAGAACTGGTTTTGATTAATACATAGGCTTACAATAATAATAATAATAATAATAATAATAATAATAATAATAATAATAATAATGTTAAAACAAACTATTATAAATAAATGTATGTTCCAAAATTGCATCCTACCTGAATAGGGAGTTGCAAAGGACCCTGCATTCTTCTCATCTTAGTCCACTACAATATTAAAATATATTAAATTCCCCTTGAAGGCTTTTCACTATAGGCGTACTCTTTTTCCTATAACTTTTGTTTTACATCAATGAAAAAGGTCTCCATCTTCGCAATCAACAGTAGCCTAGGCCAAGGCTCCTCTGTTGTGCTCTCTCTCCTCAGCAGCAGGCCAAGGCATGAGAGAATGGTGCTGAAGCATCAATTTGGGGTGTAGGCTATGATAGACAGCCTCTCTTGGACAATTTGGCCTGCTACAATTGTATTTGTATTTGTAAAAAAAAAAAATTGGGGGGGCAAATGCTGCCAATTACCATCAAATTGACTTGTTGAAGATAAAAGTCTGTGCGTAAATACGTAGTGCACATAAAAATAACTTTTGAGGTTAAATTCCCATGTACTGAATAAAAAATTAAAGTTGAATGGGTTTCCATTGCATTTCCAACTCTAGGCCTACTGATGGTTTTGTCACAAAACAAATTGCATAGGTATAGTGAATGAGCCCACTCTGGTATTGGCACTGTGCGCTCTAGCCAACAGCTTGCCGATACAGTGCAGGTATAGCCTACTACATTATGAGATTACTATGGACAAAAGTGCAAGATTATTTTTATTTGTCAAATGGCAGCCAAGCATCAATCATCATGTCACCAGAATAAGACCCTCAATATTTATTGAAAGGAGCATCAACCTCATCACCATGCACTTTCACCACCCTGTGTAATTCATCATAACTTATTTCATCTGTAGCCTAATAAACTGCATGCTTTCCCATGATGTGGTGACATTTTTTATCAGACATGTAGGCTACTTTACTCACATAAAAAAGTTGGATTGAAAACCTGGTTAATGTCAAGCCATTTTGAGGATGCTGGAATTATATTTGGGATGAAGGTGAGCATGCCTTCAGGAGACTTTTGAAGTAGCCTAATCAGATTAAAACATTGTGACTGGTTGTGTTTACGTCACATATAAAAAGGTAATACATTAAAAAAGTTACATTATAAATATTTAGGCTATATTGAAGCATTAGGTTCTAGGTGCGTGAGGAATAGCCACTCGGATTGGAGAGGAGGCAGAGCGTGCGTTAAGCTTTCCTGAATAACTGGGCCTGCCAAGAGGATATGTGGCCACATTATTATAGGACGACTTGGGAGAATGATGATCTGCAACAGACACCACATTCAGTATCAGAAGTAGAAATACAGCCAGACTGGCCTGCTACTGTGCCTTTCTAGACCTTGTGAACTGTTGAGAGTAGACCCACAACTGATCCAAATCTAATGAAACATTCAAATCACAGGGCTTTTGCGCCGTTATTCAAATGATATTTTCACTGCAGCCTAGAGTAGAATGTTGTACTCACTTGAAACCAATTATGCAATTATTCATTGCATTGTGGTGTTGTAGGCTAGTCTAGGTAGGATCATTGATTTGTCCCTAAAAAAAATGTGAGTTGTGTGTCTCATGTCTTCACTGTTCTTTCATGCGCAATGATGCACCTGACCCTCCGCTGCCTATCAGCTATTCCTATTTGTTCTTGTCTATTCATATAAAAAATGTATGCAGCTTTGAATGTTTTTATGTGTGGTATGATTGCTAGTTAGCCTATTGCAGATCTGGACAAACGATCCACCTACCACTGTTGTCACTATAAATGGTGGATAGTGGGCAGGATATACCATTAGACTGGTAGACTATACTGACCTGTGGTATAGTAATAGTTAGCACACGGAAAAGCATAGTGAATAAGGGAAGTACCAAAACACCTTGATATAGAGGAGGCGCATTCAAGCAGATGAGGAAATTTGGCTAAGATGGAAGAAATGCTATAGTAAAACCTGCAAAAGAGCAATGTAAAACAGGGAAAAACGCACTATCCTCCCCTGTGCCCAATAAAAAAAAACACACAACCCTCCCCAAAGCAACAAAGAAAAGTTTGACAACCCTCTCCTATTTTGGACCACCCCTCCCCCCTTGTAAAATGTGATCTGTTCCTAAACTGAGGAGAAGGAAGTGTATGTGGTGGATGTCAAAAGCAACACCAGGGGCCTCATTTATAACCGTAGCCTAAATTTTACACAAAAAAACTGCACACGCACAGAAATATTGAGATTTATAAACTTAAACGCATGTTTCCCGTTATAAATCAGACCTGTCGTAAAAATGTGCGCGCGTGAACAAGCATTATACCTCTGCCTGAATAACGCCCATCATTCCCCTTTTATGGTGACAATAACGCCCTTATTTGCTGTAGGGCTATACATTGGAAGTATTGGAATTAGGCCAAGACAGTAAATATAAAGGAAATATCAAAGGCAAACTTGATTAAATGTCTTTTGAGGTGTTGGCAGAATGTTGTTTTGTTGCAGTGATATTTGCTGTATCTGACCATTTCTGAAACACAAAAACAATTGCAAATTGTTGTGGACCTGTAAACAGATCGTTTGAATTCAATAATGTTTGGCATTTACTTTCTCCCGAACCTAAATATGCTGCACTGCCCACGAATTCTGAAACATTGTCTACTCAGAAAAAAATGAAAACTACAGTAGGACTATTTACAATGGTAGCCTACACACTTCAATGCAAAAAATCAACTGTCTGTTCACCTGTTAAATTCTACTATATATTATAAACTGTGCTCCCATTCGGACGCATAGAGAAAAAACTTTACATTATAATAGCCTATCTAATAGGCCCAATTAAATGAGAAAATGTGAACAGTCTGTTCTACCGTTAAACTGCGCTTCGGATTGCAAAGAGCAAAATACTTTAAAAAATAGGTAGATTATCTATTTAGTACTGTGAAGTGGGTCCAATTAAATGAGAGATGGGACGAATGGTAGCCTATCCTGACTTGTTGTAGACCTATAGGCTATTTTGTGGGTATGAAACCATCACAGTCAGAAAAGGTGAAGAATTTATTCTGCAATGATCATGGAAATGTAATAAATAATCGGAAATAGATTTCTAATTATTTCAGAATGCAAAGATAAAATAAATAGATTTTCGCACTTCTCACTAACAGCAAATGATTGCATCTTGTTATTATATTTAGCTACTGATTTTTTTGTTATGAATAAGTCATCATATATTCCCCATTTGTACAAGGCTACTAGGCTACTTTTGAATTCTTGCAATGCAATACTTTAACCACTAGAAACTGTGCGTATGCATGGTCTAAAGTTTGCAGGACGATAAGCACATTCTTACATCAAGTTTAGTTTTTATAAATGCCAACTTTTACGTGAAAACTGCCACACGCATGTTTTGGGGCATATTTTGTGGGTACTCAACCTTTATAAATGAGGCCCCAGTTCTTGACATTGACTGATTGGTTTACCTCATCTGCCATCAGGAAGAGACGCTCCTTAGCAGCGAATCGGATCACATCCTCAATGCACTGTCTACTCTGGACCTGACCTATTACAGAGGAGGAGAGGGAAAGGTTCAGATTCATATGGGCAGAACTGGAAATGTTGGTTTATGTCTAAGTGGGATCTATTTCCTCTGGCGCCATCTAGTGACATGACTGTCTGTGATAATCTTTGGCTACAGTTGAAGTTGGAAGTTTACATACACCTTAGCCAAATACATTTAAACTCAGTTTTTCACAATTCCTGACATTCAATCCTAGTAAAAATTCCCTGTCTTAGGTCAGTTAGGATCACCACTTTATTTTTAAAATGTTAAATGTCAGAATAATAGTAGAGAGAATGATTTATTTCAGCTTTTATTTCTTTCATCACATTCCCAGTGGGTCAGAAGTTTACATACACTCAATTAGTATTTGGTAGCATTGCCTATAAATTGTTTAACTTGGGCCAAACGTTTCGGGTAGCTTTCCACAAGCTTCCCACAATAAGTCCCACCATTCCTCTTGACAGAGCTGGTGTAACTGAGTCAGGTCTGTAGGCCTCCTTGCTCGCACACGCTTTTTCAGTTCTGCCCACACATTTTCTATATGATTGAGGTCAGGGCTTTGTGATGGCCACTCCAATACCTTTACTTTATTGTCCTTAAGCCATTTTGCCACAACTTTGGAAGTATGCTTGGGGTCATTGTCCATTTGGAAGACCCATTTGCGACCAAGCTTTAACTTCCTAACTGATGTCTTGAGATGTTGCTTCAATATATCCACATTTTCCTACCTCATGATGCCATCTATTTTGTGAAGTGCACCAGTCCCTCCTGCAGCAAAGCACCCCCACAGCATGATGCTGCCACACCCGTGCTTCACGGTTGGGATGGTGTTCTTCGGCTTGCAAGCAACCCCCTTTTTCCTCCAAACATAAGGATGGTCATTATGGCCAAACAGTTCTATTTTTAAAAAATCAGACCAGAGGACATTTTTCCAAAAAGTACGATCTTTGTCCCCATGTGCAGTTGCAAACCATAGTCTGGCTTTTTTATGGCGGTTTTGGAGCAGTGGCTTCTTCCTTGCTGAGCGGCCTTTCAGGTTATGTCGATATAGGACTCATTTTACTGTGGATATAGATACTTTTGTACCTGTTTTCTCCAGCATCTTCACAAGGTTCTTTGCTGTTGTTCTGGGATTGATTTGCACTTTTTGCACCAAAATACGTTCATCTCTAGGAGACAGAACGCGTCTCCTTCCTGAGCGGTATGACGGCTGCGTGGTCCCATGGTGTTTATACTTGCGTACTATTGTTTGTACAGATGAACGTGGTACCTTCAGGCATTTGGAAATTGCTCCCAAGGATGAACCAGACATGTGGAGGTCTACCATTTTTTTCGGAGGTATTGGCTGATTTCTTTTGATTTTCCCATGATGTCAAGCAAAGAGGCACTGAGTTTGAAGGTAGGCCTTGAAATACATCCACAGGTACACCTCCAATTGACTCAAATGATGTCAATTAGCCTATCAGAAGCTTCTAAAGCCATGACATCATTTTCAGGAATTTTCCAAGCTGTTTAAAGGCACAGTCAACTTAGTGTATGTAAACTTCTGACCCACTGGAATTGTGATACAGTGAATTATAAGTGAAATAATCTGTCTGTAAACAATTGTTGGAAAAATGACTTGTGTCATGCACAAAGTAGGTGTCCTAACCGACTTGCCCAAACTATAGTTTGTTAACAAGAAATTTGTGGAGTGGTTGAAAAACAAGTTTTAATGACTCCAACCTAAGTGTATGTAAACTTCCCGACTTCAACTGTACTTACCAGTGGGGTTTCCAGGGTTAATGATGCAGATGGCTTTGGGGTTGCAGTGCTTCCTAGCCTCCGCTAGGGAGCGCTCTAGCTCACTGAGGTCCATGCTCCAGCACTTCTCCTCGTTCAGGTAGTAGTTGACCTGCACAGCGCCCAGCTCAGCCAGAGCAGCCGAGTACAGAGGGTACTGAGGGATGGAGATCATCACCCCTGTCCTCGACGCACCCTCACCACACACCAACAGCTTCAGCATAGTCTGGGATATGGAGGGGAGAGAAGGAGGAGGGAGAGAGTGGGTGAGCAAATGATAGGCCATTCAAACAATCAATCAATCAATCAAGAATAATAAGTGATAAGGTTGATGGGTGATAGAATGATAGACCGATGGGTGCATCTCAAGTCTATAGTCCTCAACGCTCTCCTCCTGCCCTCCCCTTTATCTGCAGTGAGAAGGTTACTTGAAAAATATAATTATTTGATTTTGAGTTCTTACCACGATGCCGTCGCTGGCGCCGGTGGTGAGGTAGACGTTGTCTGGGTCACAGGGCACTCCCCCGTCCCGACGCTCGATGTAGCGAGCTACGTCCTGCCGCACACAATCTATACCCTGACTGGCACTGTACGCACCTGAGAGAGAGAGAGAGAGAGAGAGAGAGAGAGAGAAAGGGAGAGAGAGAGAGAGAGAGACTCAATACACTGCGGCTCTCTAGGACCGGGGTTGGCCACCCTTGACTGCGAAAGGTGATTCATTGCTTATGCAGACACTAACAGGCTGACACAGGCTTATTGGCTCAAATATCCCCGTATGTATTTTATCTTAACTTACATCCTTCCAAAACACAATCAATCAAGTACTTGAACAACATACCCATACTACTCCCTCCACAAGCCTGCAGAATGTGGCGTGCTCTGTTTTTGGCATCCTCTGGAAATATGTTGTCATTCAAGAGTTCTGGGTAGGAGCAGAGTGCCAAGACCTTCAGGAGGAAGAGAGGACAGAGAGAGCAATGTGAGGAACAGACAGGAGTTGATGCAGGATAAGGTACACAAATCTGCATGAAACGCCGCATGAATCTGCATGAAAATGTCACAATGTGATTTTGCCATAGACAGAATGGTTTCAAACGACAAAGGAGAATGAAAGACACCCTGTTATCAAAATGGTTTGGAACATAGGTAATAAAAGCAGACCTGGCGGAAGAAGGTTATTGGCTGCTGGCCCATGGCGTGGGCGTCACCGATGTTGGCCTTGATGACTTCAGTGAAGGGCTTCTTCACTCCCTGCAGGACAGAGAAACAACAGAAAACAATGAGAGAGGTAGAGAGAGGATGAAACAATTAGGGCAAGGAAGAAAGAGATGGATGAATACAATGTGTTCTTGGGAAACACTCTTTTCACGCCACTTCGATACCGAAATGACTTTTTCGTAGAAGGTTAGGGGAACTTACACAGCAGGTTAGGAGACTGAGGTTAAGGCTAGGAAAAGGGTTAGGGATAGCAAAAATGCTCTTTGTTTCGAAGTGGCGTGAAAAGAGTGTGTCCTATGCATTCTTGGGTCACAGGGGTGTGCAGGGCATAAAGGCAGTCCAATACTTTACTTTATTCTTTATAAACTCATAATTAACTATTTATAACTACTTATCTGAGCGTGTCCCTCTAAGTAAGACATGAGTATGAGGTCACTTCCTCCTGGAATATGAGGTCACGTCTGAAGGTACCAGGCCGAAAAATGAATGGAAGTGAATGTGGCATTTCCACAGTAAAAACATGTTTTATTTTCTGAACGTTCTTATATCGCTCAGATATAGGACAGACACTTCAAAACATACTTCCTTTATTTTTGCACTGTTTTTCAATGTATGAATATGTAATGCGATGTGTTTCTATGGGCTAGTAGGCCAAATTCAATGCTTCATCAAATACATTTTTTGGGGGGGAAATGTATACCTACAGGGGCCCTAAAATTCAAAATAAAATAGCTAAATGATCCTTGGGATGACCATCGTAAAACAATTCTAGACCTTTAAATAGACAACCCTTACAACTCTTTATCATCTTCTTTACCATGTGTTTTTACTTAAACTCTCAAGCACAAATACAAAATCAGGTATAGTCTTTGCCAGGAGAAATGACTTGGCAACCTGCATTGGTTTAATATGTGTTGTACTCTCCCCTTGCTTTTAGGTCCTAAAATGTAGGACATCACAGGAGGCCTTTTGCCATAAATTAAATAAAAACATAAGAAAAATATAAAACACGAGTGACAGAATCCAATTTTAGCTTTTCTAATGTTAGGGTTTCCAACTGTACACACTTACCTACAAACACAAACACATAATGTGTGTCTGTGTGTTTGGGAGCAGACTGGAGTGAGACAAAGCAAGAAGTTGTTGTGAAATTACAGCCCAACTACTGTATATGAATATATTAAAGGAGAGAAAATGCTGTCTGGAAAGCAAAAAGAAACACACATTCCCCTGCTGCCTGGAAGGCTTGTCAAGTGTTTTATCAGCTAGTTTCCAGCTGTAGAAACAGACGATAAGTAGTAAACCAGGTGTAAAAAAACAGACTCCAAAACAGACCAGGTCATGGAGAATAGAAAACAATACAGAATTTGGGGAGGTTGTCAAGGAATTTGGTAACATTATGTCCTTATAGGCCAATAGTAACACTAGCTGTCTGTTCCCTTTTCTCTGTCCTAATAAACAAATAAAAATGGCACTACTTAGCTACTTCTCTCAGAATATCTGAGAACAATATGTCAAGAGGTTGAAAGTATCTCCTTAAGGACAACGGAACTAAACTGGCCAAGAACAGACTCCTCAGTGAGTGTCCAAATGTTTGGTATTTGAAACCCTATAACAACATGTACAGCGGTCAGTGGCCACAAGAGGAACTCATTCAAACCCAGTGGGAAGCAAAGCAGCCCTGCTGTTGTTCTACCCACCAGATACATTTATCCAATCTAACTGGGCCAGCTGGACCAGCAATGAACACCAAAGTTCACAACAGAAAATAAACCTCCTACACTCCCATTGGTCACAAGACAGAGGTGTCTCTCAGTCCAGACCAATCACAAACAGCAGGGGAGTGACACCCACTGAACACAAAGGACCTCCTCCCATTCCATTCATACTGAGAGTAATAATATGCCATTTAGCAGACGCTTTTATCCAAAGTGACTTACAGAGTAGAGTAGTTTACATTTTACTGCAAAGAGATATGGTGCAAAAAAAGAAGAAAAAACATGTCAGTTCCCAGCTGACTAGAGTACATTTTATTAAAAACATGAAAAATAAAAAAATAAAATTCTGTCCCACTCTTTTTCTGGGAATTTTCTTAAAATCCCCTAAGAAGCTTCCTAAGAGTTCCTAAAGTCTTCTAAGTGTTTCTAAGAAGGTATTTTATCCCAGGAAGTAGTGTTATAATGTCACATACAGACAACATAGCAGACCCCTTGTTGAAACACCTTCACTGATTAGGCCATGTGGCTCTTGTCAGAGTGCTGCCTATTGCATGTTCTTTATAAGATGATTGAGACTAGCCTACAGTTGATTTTGCCCTCTCTCTCTCTACCTCATTACCCAGTTCTCTAGTTTCCTTTGCTCTTTCTGCATGTGTATGTTTATTTGCCTCTTTTTCTGTCTCTGGTAAGTAGCATTCTAATTGGTCTGGCTGGTAAGTAGCATTATCTGGTAAGTAGCATTCTAATTGGTCTGGCAAAACAAATTCAAAGTTTGGCCAAAGAAAGTTACATCATTATGGTTACTAGTTTACTCTTCAAAAGTAGCGTAGTAGCAGAGGCAGGAGATGTAATGTGATGTCTTTCATTCATTAAAGAAAGTCACAGTGTGCCATACTACTAAGCAATCCTCCTGCAGTCTCCATGGAGACCACTGAGGCGATAGCAGGCATCTCCGTGGGCCTCTAGCCTGGTCCTTGAGCTGTTAATGGTTTAAAGTTGTTTTGCTCACATTCTACTTAGTGTTTTTTCTCTTCCTGCTAGGCTAAAAGGGGAATTAACTAAAGACGACAATTTAGGTCAGGTTTCAGGAAATGTTCCTAAACTTTATCCGCATCTGAAACATTACAGTTAATCTAAGTCCTCAAAATAGGTGTATATGTTAGTAGGATAAAATAGAGATTGTGAAAAGGGGATAGAGAGGGGCAGAGAAAGACAGAATGTATTTTGTGTGAAAGTGGGTGTTCCTTCCTTACCTATTTTAGACAAAAGCAAGCAAGTGAATGTCAGCTCTGTGCCCTGTTTTCACAAAGAAATCTAACTCCCATCACAGCTATGTATGAAAAGCAGGTTTAAAAAACCAAAAACAAGACTGGTTTGCCCAGTTAGACTTGAAATAGCCTACAGATGATACAGCACAGATTAACGGGAACCTCCAAATATATGAAGTCTTCACCTGATACAGCACAGATTAACAAGGTTTGCGTGTTAGACTCCATATATTTGGAGGTTAGACTTCATATATTTGGAGGTTCCCGTAAATAACAAAACAGACTTTGTTTTCATTTCCAGGTGCTCAATATGATATAAGGATGTAATAACTTCTTATTAAACCCCTGAAGTAGACTTCTGAATGGCCAATATCCCCTAACCCAGGTTGGCTGGGGTGTTTGAGGATGACTCTGAACAAAAACAAGAAAGAAAATCCATGAATCCAAAGTGTATTTGGGTAAAGCCCCAGGACCATCTGGTAAAGGTCACCGTAGTCCCTCCACCCCCCGCCGCAGCCAAAAAGTGACCCTTTCACCTCTCTCTCAAACACACAGACACACGTTGCTCGCCTTCCTGGAAAGAGCCACTCGGAGGGTCCGCTTTACACACCTAACTGAACTCAGTAAACTATGCACTCTGGGTTTCCATGACAACCCCTGAAATGAAGTGAGAGGGGACGGGGATGGGGCAGGTAAGGGTTACACTGAGGGAAAGTACATACAAAACAACTGGAAATAACATTGACTAAGTCTAACCAAAGTGTGAGACAGTGTGGACAGTGTCAACAGATGGGACTCCCGAGTGGCGCAGCGGTCTAAGGCACTGCATCTCAGCGCTTGAGGCGTCACACTACAGACCCCCTGGTTCGATTCCAGGCTGTATCACAACCGGCCGTGAAAGGGAGAGAGAGTCACAGAGAGAGAGGGCGTGGAAGATAATGAGTGAGAGAGTGAGAGTGACAGAAAGAGAGATTGGGGAGACCGTAATCTTCAACTGCATAACAAATAAGATCTTGCCTCACCATTGTTGAACAAATAACTAGACAAGTGTCATAAGCAATCAGCGCTGTGGCGTTTTAACAGTCATTGGATTTCCGATGAGGGTCAGTCTGCTTGCCTTCAAAATCAATAGAAGACCAACAGAAGGCTCAACTAACCTGTAAAGTAGTAGAATTTGGCAGGCGGTGACACACTGGACCAACAAACTATCATGGTCCAAACACACCAAGACAGTCGTGAAGAGAGCACGACAAAGCCTATTCCCCCTCAGGAGACTGAAAAGATTTGGCATGGGTCCTCAGATCCTCAAAAAAGTATACAGCTGCACCATCGAGAGCATCCTGACTGGTTGCATCACCGCCTGGTATGGCAACTGCTCAGCCTCCGACCGCAAGGCACTACAGAGGGTAGTGCGTACGGCCCAACAGCTTCTACCCCCGAGCCATAAGACTCCTGAACAGCTAATCATGGCTACCCGGACTATTTGCACTTTTTACGCTGCTGCTACTCTGTTAATTATTTATGCATAGTCACTTTAACTCTACCCACATGTACATATTACTTCAACTACCTCAACTAGCCGGTGCCCCCGCACATTGACTCTGCACCGGTACCCCCCTGTATATATAGCCTCCCTACTGTTATTTTATTTTACTTCTGCTCTTTTTTTCTCAACAATTTTTTGTTGTTGTTTTATTTTACTTTTTTATTTAAAAATAAATCCATTGTTGGTTAAGGGCTGTAAGTAAGCATTTCACTGTAATGTCTACACCTGTTGTATTCGGCGCATGTGGCCAATAAAATTTGATTTGATTTGGGTGTGTGAGCAAATGCACTCAAAAACGATATATTTTGGTGAACATTTAGGCTAGAGGGCAAAGGGAAGAGCAAGCACATGGCAACCAGTTATTTTTGACATTTTAGGAGGGGTGGGGGTTAAAATACTTTTGTCAATTATAACACAGAAATTGATAATCTTAGCCTATCTATTTATTTTAGAATCACCCAAGTTTGGTAGCAGAGAGAAAACAAGTTTGGTACAGGGATAGACTATTTTTACATACAAATCTGATTGGATACAGCATTTGATTACTGAAATATCAGCCTCAATTTACTTCAGAGTTGCTTTTTTCTTTCTGAGAGCTAATCAGGGACATTTCGGGGAGATCTTTAGCTGGGGACAGGCCACCAAAATCGTCTGGTCACCCTATATCACGCAAGCCTATAGGCCTAGGCTGCATGTCACTGCTGCAGTTGCAGATCCAGAAAAACAGAGCCAGTGAGGCCACAGGAAACTGTCAAGTTCTTTAAAAGTCAGACTGTTGCAATTTGTCTAGGTGAGACAGACAGTGCATGGGACAGTGTCAGTGCTTTCCCACTTTGCAAACTGCAACAGATTTCAGATTGAGAGAAACAAATGATTTACACAATTTAAAAACAAATGGAGAAAAAAAAAGTGATTATTTAACAAAGTAAATGTTATTATTAAGCATACCTCTCTCAGCTCCTTCTCGATCTGCACGGCGCGCTGCACAATGGGTCCGCGCACGGCATACTCGACCTTCTTCACCGTGGGGTTCATGGTGTCGATGGTCAAAACCTTGTTCCGGGAGAACACTTCATTATCGGTCATTTTCTCTTGGACAAGTCCACGCTGCGGTTCACTGACTCCTGAAAGTGTTCTACTCTGGGAAGAGAAAGGTGACAGCGGAGAGGGGATCATCATTGAGCGGACACCAGAGGTGAGGTGCCCCGCGGAGTATTGTGCCTCACTGCCGAAAAACCGGTAAATTCCTCTGGATATAACGCGCGAGCTTCTGGATGGCAACATTTGTCCTATGCGCGAAGCAGACATGTCACAAGATATATCTTTGTTGTGAAGCGCTGCGACCACCCTCACGCTCAATGAATGCACACAGACAGACAACTGTTTGTTGCTCAACTGACAAAAAAAAAAAAATAAAAAATATCTGACAGACCTTTGGACCTTACAATTTCCACAACCCAGTTATTCACAGACTGGGGCACTCTTTTCAACATGAAATGTATGTTTTCTGCTGCAGCACACATTGTAGCATTACTCCCCCATGTGAGTGTTATCCAACCTCCATCCCCTCCCGTCCCCATTACCCACCGATAAATTGTCCGTCAGGATCAGGTCTCCGGTTTCCGAGACGACAGACACAAGCGATTAGCCTATGCGAGCAGATCTGGAACAGCTTCAAACGTTCTGTGCAACTCCCTCTCTTTCGATGGTCAATACACACCCGGAGGCGCGCTCTAGACTATTGGGAGGAGACTACAGACCTGGCCATTCTGCAGAAATTGAGCGCAACTCCTCCTCCTATTTGGACACGAGCCCAGATCTCTCACTATTTGGAGCAGTATACAGAATTTACACGAAATGTGCACGGCGCTCAACTAGATACGTTTTAAGGGCCCTCCACTCTAGGCTACTTAAGTTTGTAGTGTGAATGAATGAAATAGATGTTGCTTTATCAGTCCCCTTTATACCATATTTATAGCTGAAATTATAGTTCTTTATTATAACATTATAACATCTGTCGATGTGCCCTTAAGCAAGGCACTTAACTCTAATTGCTCATGTAAGTCGCTCTGGATAAGAGCGTCTGCTAAATGACTAAAAATGTAAAAATGTAAATAACAAATACTAAATTCAAAGGATATATCCATTCCTAAATTAAAGGTCCAAGGCAAGGGCATTTTTACTCAAAATATCAAATAAAGCCTTGGAGTCAACATGGGCCAGCATCCCTGTGGAACGCTTGACACCTTGAGTCCATGCCCCCGACATATTACATTAACATTATTTAGCAGACGCTCTTATCCAGAGCGACTTACAGGAGCAATTAGGGTTAAGTGCCTTGCTCAAGGGCCATCAACAGATTTTTCACCTAGTTGGCTCGGGGATTAGAACCAGCGACCTTTCGGTTACTGGCACAACGCTCTTAACCACTAAGCTACCTGCCGCCCCATATTGAGGCTGTTCTGCGGGAAAAAGTGGGTGCAACTCAATATTAGGAAAGGGGTTCCAAATGTTTTGCACATTCACTCAGTGTATTTGTTACAAGGACCGTATGAGATTAATTGGCTCCAAGCTGTTATAAACAGGGATTTATTTAAAGACCACATTTTCCTGCATTGCAGTTGGACTTTTCCTCAATGGCTTGATCTCTGTCCCCAATGGATGTTATATAACTATGGATAACATATGATCATTAACTAATGTTATATGATGGAGTTGTTATTACCTGCTACCATCTGCATACAATCTGTTAATGGTTTGCTTTGTCCTATTGCTCATCACCCTGTTCGCTATAGTGATAAAGTCCAACTTACTCCGCCACAACAAAATCTTTATCTACAGTGCCTTCAGAAAGTATTCACACCCCTTGACTTTTTCTATATTTTACAGCCTGAATTTAACATGCATTAAATTGAAAATGTTTTTGTCACTAGCCTACACATAATACCCCATAATATCAAAGTATAATTATGGTTTTCAAAATGTTTACAAATTAATTATAAATGAAAACCTGAAATGTCTTGAGTCAATAAGTTTTCAACTTCGCTGTTATTGCAAGCTTAAATAAGTTCATGAGTAAAAATCTGCTGAACAAGTCACATAATAAGTTGCATGGACTCACTGTGTGCAATAATAGTGTTTAACATGATTTTTGAATGACTACCTCATCTCTGTACCCCACACATACAATTATATGTAAGGTCCCTCAGTCGAGCAGTGAATTTCAAACACAGATTCAACCACAAAGACCTGGGAGGTTTTCCAATGCCTCACAAAGGTAAAAAATAAAATAAAAGCAGACATTCAATATTTTGAGCATGGTGAAGTTATTAATTACACTTTGGATGGTGTATCAATACACCCTGTCACTACAAAGATGCAGGCGTCCTTCCTAACTCAGTTGCTGGAGAGGAAGGAAACCGCTCAGGGATTTCACCATACGGCTAATGGGGACTTTAAAACAGTTAAAGAGTTTAATGGCTGTGATAGGAGAAAACTGAGGATGGATCAACAACATTGTAGTTACTCCACAATACTAACATAATTGACAGAGTGAAAAGAAGGAAGTCAAAAAGCAATTCACTTTTTGTCCTGAATACAAAGTATTATGTTTGCGGAAAATCCAATAACATGGACGACATGGTTCCAGTAATGCCTGGCGAAAACCAAACTCTGCATTCCACAGTAAGAACATCATACCAAAGGTCAAGCATGGTGGTGGTGGTGGGATGGTTTGGGGATGCTTTGCTGCCTCAGGACCTGGACGACTTGCCTTAATAGAAGGAACCATGAATTCTGCTCTGTATCAGAGAATTCTACAGGAGAATGTCAGACCATCCGTCTGTGAGTTGAAGCTGAAGCGCAGCTGGGTCATGCAGCAAGACAATGATCCAAAACACACAATCAAGTCTACATTAAAATTGCTAAAAAGCAACAAATTGGAAGTTTTGGAATGGCCTAGTCAAAGTCCAGACCTAATCCCAATTGAGATGTTGTGGCAGGACTTGAAACGAGCAGTTCATGCTTGAAAACCCACACGTCACTGAGTTAAAGCAGTTCTGCATGGAAGAGTGGGCCAAAATTCCTCCACAGCGACATGAGAGACTGATCAACAACTACAGGAAGCATTTGGTTGGAGTCATTGCAGCTAAAGGTGGCACAACCAGTTATTGAGTGTAAGGGGGCAATTACTTTTTCACACAGGGGAATTGGGTGTTGCATAACTTTGTTTATGAAATAAATATGTAATTGTTGTATTATTTGTTCACTTATGTTCCCTTTATCTAATATTAGGTTTTGGTTGAAGATCTGATAACATTCAGTATCACAAATATGCAAAAGTAGAGAAAATTAGAAAGGGGGCAAATACTTTTTCATAGCACTGTAACATACCGGCTCAGTTTATTCTCATGTCTCCGGGGAATTTATTGCAAACTCATCTGGTCTTTGACACTATGAACCTTGAGTGGAAACAAGAGAAGGGTTCAGAGCAGTACACAGCAAGACAGATTCTAAATAATATTTGTATCACCGGCTATTGAAATGTAAAAGCAATGAGGCGCAAGTGCTTGATTTCATGTGTACTCCTTCTTGCCACATTCATCCATGGCTGAAGTGAAAAGAATTATGGAATCAGGAAGAGCAGAAAAAAAACGTATTCAAGAGCTCATTAACAGCTGATACATCAGCTAGGAGCGAAAGTCGATTTTGATTATTCTTCATGGTTAATCTGCCGAACTATGCCATTGTATCAGCAATGGTTGAAAGTGTTGCAGCTGAAGCAAACAATTTACCATCAACTGCTCTGTGATGATTGGGGACAGATGTTCCGACTATTTAACCCCAACTTGACGAGGTACACCTGAGGAACATTCATTTTGTATTTCTATAGCAGACCGTTTCAGTGATCTAAAACCTCTTTCACATTGTCTCAGAGAGATTCCCATTGATATTTTCAACATCATTAACGGTATAGGTAGTCAAAAACGCCAAGAATCCAAAATGGCTAAGGATTTCAATGTAAAAACATCTACCCAGGATTGGGGAATGTCTTGGTTTCTCACAGGATCAGCAACAATATGTTTCTCCTGAACAGCAAGGGGCAATCTTAGCTATGATATAAGTAGGCCTATTTCTCATTGAATTCCACACAAAGAAAGAACTGTCAACTCAAGGTATTTTATCTATTCAGCCACACAAACAAACTTGTAGAAGTAGATAGATTTATAAAAACAGAACAAATATCCATTATCTCTAGCAACAGCAACAGACACAATGGAAACATTAGAGGTTTTTTTTTTAACAATATTTCACAACAAAAATACTAATGATCATAAGAAAATATATACAGTAATAGCACTTAGGTGTCAAGCACTTGACATTGGACTTAAGTGTAAATTGATAAACATCAGACACAGTGGTTCTGCATCTACTCCAAAAACTAGTAAGGCATGTGTGTAATAAGCATTGCTGGTATTGTTTTGGACCAGGTCAGCAGTACACTTTCCCTGATCCTCCAAAAGTAGTTCTGGAGTCAAGTATATGAGGTGAAAGGAAATAACTGAACAAAGGAAACATTCTAAAGCCTTCTAGAGTATTCTAGAGTAAATATAGAGGAGAATATTCAGGGGTAACAAAATGAGGTAAAAGGAGCATTTCCTGCTCCGTAACAGTTGGCTATGATGAAAGTGGTAGGCTACATATAATAAACAGTGTAGCCTCATCGCTAACCAGGCTTCCCTAAAACGGGAGGTGTGACAACGACGTGATTTTGGAGGTATGGCAACGCAAGACTATAAACAGTGTAACACTATCCTTAGATTTCACAGCATAATCATATTTAAAAAGTTGGCCTAAAATCCTGTGGTTGTGGAAAGAGTCTGTGTAGCCACAGAGCGTAGGGCAAAGGTAGGCACTGAGAGGGGGGTGAGTAGGTAGAACTGGTGTTGGGCCGTATACAGGCCGAAACCAGGTAGCACTGCAAGGGCTGGTGGAAGAAGCCCAGGGCAAAGTACTCCTGGAGGGAGTCCCTGTCCCCACATTGGGCCTTCTACCCTGGGGTCAGGGCCAGGGCTGGTGGAGTCTCCTCCAGGGGAAAGTAGCGAGTGGTGGTAATGGTGTAGAAAAGCCTGAGCAGCTCCCAGCAGCATGACTTGGAGGGCAGAGGAGGGTTGTGGTTAGTGGTGATTGTCTTCACACGGGGGACTGAGCGACGGGACTCTGTTGATGAGCAGCAGAGCCAGGATGTCAGGGCAGAGGATCACAGAGCCTAGCAGGCAGCGCTCTCCCACAGCCAGTCTGCCTCTCAGGGCCTCCACTAGAGGAGACCAGAAACGCCCCACCAGCTCGCTCTCAGCCCTGTGCATGGTGGGACTGGGGCCACACAGCACGCACACGTCCACCCCCGGAGGCAGCTGTAAGCGGAGCAGGCAATGGGCCACCGTGGGGCTGCCCTGGGACAGGAAGACAGGGGCGTCGCAGGATACAGAGCCGGTGAGGGAGCGTTGGGGATTCTGACGCCATCCGCTGCTACTGGTGCATGTGCGGTGAGTCAGGCTGGCATGGATCGAAGCACACCTTCTCCCCCTTGCCTGAGGCAGTCCCATTCTGTTCCCCCTCTTCCTTCCCCATCGGATTCCATCACAACCACCGTCATCGTGGGCAGCTTGATGGTGAGAGACTTTGGCCTGCCTACGGCCAGGCACCCATGTCCAAGACATCAACTCCCTCCTGCCCACAGTTCTAGCCAACTACTCTTGTACATCGTCACACACTTTGGCTTTAACGACATTCTTTAAAAGAGAAGGGATTCACCCTAACCGCAGGGTTTCCAGGATTATCTCCATCAACATAGTGAACTTCTTAAGAGACTGATGGTCTGGGGTTGGTAGCACTCCAGTCCTCCCTGTCATAATAAGCAACAAAGGACATGGAAATCATATTATATCCCTGAGAAATATAAGTGCAGTCAATGTAACTAACCTAATCTATGTTCCTTTAACTGTTAGCTCCCAGGGTATTGTCAGCAATAATTATATGCCCATAGAATTGAATTCCATTGTTTGCACTGAAACGGTCTGCCTTAAGAAGAAGCCCACTGTGAGCAGCCCACTCAGTACCATTGACTTAAATGTAAATGACACTGACATGTCTACCATGTTAATATAATGGAAGAATCAAATGCTTTATTTAAATATTGAAAATAAATCTGTCTACAGACAGAAACAACAATACAATTTGAAGTCATATGAGGCAGAGTCTTACAAGCATTAGAAACAACATTGGGTGGGGATAGATTGGGAACATGTGGGTCTGAGCAAGTGTGATGTCAATGTATGTGAATGTTAGGTTGTCAATTGTTTATGTCTATGTATGTTTTTGTTGATCAAAAATAAAAAATAAAAATCTAACCCCCCCCACAAAAAAGCTAATGTCACTGACATGTCTGCCTCAGATCAGCCTCTCAGAATAGCACGAAAAACAAACAAGCAACCCAGAAAAGGACTAAAATAGCCCATATTAACATATGTAGCCTGAGAAACAAGGTTAATGAAATTGACAACTTACTAACATCAGAAAACATTCATATTCTGGCCATCTCTGAAACACACTTAAATCATTCCTTTGATGATGCAGTAGTAGCTATACATGGTTATAGAATATACAGGAAAGATAGAAATGCAAATGGTGGAAGTGTTTCTATGTACAGTGAGGAGAACAAGTATTTGAAACACTGACGATTTTGCAGGTTTTCCTACTTACAAAGCATGTAGAGGTCTGTAATTTTTATCATAGGTACACTTCAACTGTGAGAGGCGGAATCTAAAACAAAAGTCCAGAAAATCACATTGTATGATTTTTAAGTAATTAATTTGCATTTTATTGCATGACATAAGTATTTGATCACCTACCAACCAGTAAGAATTCCGGCTCTCACAGACCTGTTAGTTTTTCTTTAAGAAGCCCCCCTGTTCTCCACTCATTACCTGTATTAACTGCACCTGTTTGAACTTGTTACCTGTATAAAAGACACCTGTCCACACACTCAATGAAACAGACTCCAACCTCTCCACAATGGCCAAGACCAGAGAGCTGTGTAAGGACATCAGGGATAAAATTGTAGACCTGCACAAGGCTGGGATGGGCTACAGGACAATAGGCAAGCAGCTTGGTGAGAAGGAAAATGGAAGAAGTTCAAGATGACGGTCAATCACCCTCGGTCTGGGGCTCCATGCAAGATCTCACCTCGTGGGGCATCAATGATCATGAGGAAGGTGAGGGATCAGCTCAGAACTACACGGCAGGACCTGGTCAATGACCTGAAGAGAGCTGGGACCACAGTCTCAAAGAAAACCATTAGTAATGCACTACGCCATTATGGATAAAAATCCTGCAGCACACGCAAGGTCCCCCTGCTCAAGCCAGCACATGTCCAGGCCCGTCTGAAGTTTGCCAATGACCATCTGGATGATCCAGAGGAGGAATGGGAGAAGGTCATGTGGTCTGATGAGAAAAAAAATAGAGCTTTTTGGTCTAAACTCCACTCGTGGTGTTTGGAGGAAGAAGAAGGATGAGTACAACCCCAAGAACACCATCCCAACCGTGAAGCATGGAGGTGGAAACATCATTCTTTGGGGATGCTTTTCTGCAAAGGGGACAGGACGACTGCACCGTATTGAGGGGAGGATGGATGGGGCCATGTATCGCGAGATCTTGGCCAACAACCTCCTTCACTCAGTAAGAGCATTGAAGATGGGTCGTGGCAACGACCCGAAACACACAGCCAGGGCAACTAAGGAGTGGCTCCGTAAGAAGCATCTTAAGGTCCTGGAGTGGCCTAGCCAGTCTCCAGACCTGAACCCAATAGAAAATCTTTGGAGGGAGCTGAAAGTCCGTATTGCCCAGCGACAGCCACGAAACCTGAAGGATCTGGAGAAGGTGTGTATGGAGGAGTGGGCCAAAATCCCTGCTGCAGTGTGTGCAAACCTGGTCAAGACCTACAGGAAACGTATAATCTCTGTAATTGCAAACAAAGGTTTCTGTACCAAATATTAAGTTCTGCTTTTCTGATGTATCAAATACTTATTTCATGCAATAAAATGCAAATTAATTACTTACACAATGTGATTTTCTGGATTTTTGTTTTAGATTTCGTCTCTCGCAGTTGAAGTGTACCTATGATAAAAATTACAGACCTCTACATGCTTTGTAAGTAGGAAAACCTGCAAAATCAGCAGTGTATCAAATACTTGTTCTCCCCACTGTATGTCCAGAGTCATATTCCTGTTAGGCTGAGAGAAGATCTTATGGCAGATGAAGAAATAATAAGGCTACAGGTTCATCTGTCTCACCTAAAGCCTATTCTCATAGGAAGTTGTTATAGACCACTGAGTGCTAAAAGTCAGTATTTGGACTATGTGTGAAATGCTAGATAATGTATGTGATATCAACAGAGAAGGTATGTTTTCTGGGTGACCTACATTTTGACTGGTTGTCTTCAAGCCATCCACTCAAAAATATGCTTGAAGCTGTAACCGATTCTTGTAATCTGGTTCAGGTTATCAGTCAACCTACCAGGGTATTTACAAACAGAACAGGAACTAAATCATTCACGTGTATTGATCACATCTTTACTTATGTGGCAGAAATCTGCTGTAAAGCAGTGTCCACACCTATCTGATGTAGTGGTCATAATGTAATAGCCATATCTAGAAAAACCAAAGTTCCAAAGACTGGACCTAAGATTATGTATAAGCGATCATACAATAGGTTTTACAATGATTCCTATGACAAAGATGTGAAAAATATTTGGTCTGATGTGTGTCATGAGGAACAACCTGACGCCACACTTGAAACATTTATGAAACTGCTTCTTCCGGTTACTGATAGGCATGCGCCCATGAAGAAACTGACGGTTAGAACTGCCAAATCCCCATGGATAGATGATTAATTTAAAAAAAACTCTATGGCTGAGAGGGATGAGGAAAAGAGAATAGCAACAGACTAGCAAAACATACAGTACATTGTGAAATCACATAACTAAACAAAAAGAAGAAGAAACTATACTATGAAACAAAGATAAATGAAATAAAGAATGATAGTAAAAAAAACTCTGGTACGAAATACATTGCGACTCCTGTTTGCCACATCTTCAAGTTAAGCCTAGAAGACGGTGTGTGCCCTCAGGCCTGGAGGGAGGCAAAGGTAATTCCACTGCCCAAGAATAGCAGAGCATCCTTTAACGGTTCCAATCAGCCTGTCATCCAGTGCTTAGCAAACATTTTGAAAAAGCTGTGGTTGACCAAATACAAAGTTATTTTACAGAAAACAAATTAACAACAGACTTTCAGCAGGCTTATAGGGAAGGGCACTCATGTAGATGTTATGGATTTGCATCCTCTGCCTTATCATGGATTGAGAGTTACCTAATGTATCTAATACAACAATGAGGGATTTCTTTAATGGAAGCCTCTCCAATTAAAATTCGGTTGAGTGTGGTGTACCGCAAGGCAGCCAGCTTGGGCCATTATTGTTTTCTGTTTTTAATAATGACCTTCCACTGACCATGAATAAAGCCTGTGTGTCTATGTACAGTGGGGGAAAAAAGTATTTAGTCAGCCACCAATTGTGCAAGTTCTCCCACTTAAAAAGATGAGAGAGGCCTGTAATTTTCATCATAGGTACACGTCAACTATGACAGACAAAATTAGAAAGAAATTTTTCTCCAGAAAATCACATTGTAGGATTTTTAATGAATTTATTTGCAAATTATGGTGGAAAATAAGTATTTGATCAATAACAAAAGTTTCTCAATACTTTGTTATATAGTCTTTGTTGGCAATGACACAGGTCAAACGTTTTCTGTAAGTCTTCACAAGGTTTTCACACACTGTTGCTGGTATTTTGGCCCATTCCTCCATGCAGATCTCCTCTAGAGCAGTGATGTTTTGGGGCTGTCACTGGGCAACACGGACTTTCAACTCCCTCCAAAGATTTTCTATGGGGTTGAGATCTGGAGACTGGCTAGGCCACTCCAGGACCTTGAAATGCTTCTTACGAAGCCACTCCTTCGTTGCCCGGGCGGTGTGTTTGGGATCATTGTCATGCTGAAAGTCCCGGCCACGTTTCATCTTCAATGCCCTTTCTGAAGGAAGGAAGTTTTCACTCAAAATCTCACGATACATGGCCCCATTCATTCTTTCCTTTACACGGATCAGTCGTCCTGGTCCCTTTGCAGAAAAACAGCCCCAAAGCATGATGTTTCCACCCCCATGCTTTACAGTAGGTATGGTGTTCTTTGGATGGAACTCAGCATTCTTTGTCCTCCAAACACGACGAGTTGAGTTTTTACCAAAAAGTTCTATTTAGGTTTCATCTGACCATATGACATTCTCCCAATCCTCTTCTGGATCATCCAAATGCACTCTAGCAAACTTCAGACGGGCCTGGACATGTACTAGCTTTAAGCAGGGGGACACGTCTGGCACTGCAGGATTTGAGTCCCTGGCGGCATAGTGTGTTACTGATGGTAGGCTTTGTTACTTTGGTCCCAGCTCTCTGCAGGTTCTGGGATTTTTGCTCACCGTTCTTGTGATAATTTTGACCCCACGGGGTGAGATCTTGCGTGGAGCCCCAGATCGAGGGAGATTATCAGTGGTCTTGTATGTCTTCCATTTCCTAATAATTGCTCCCACAGTTGATTTCTTCAAACCAAGCTGCTTACCTATTGCAGATTCAGTCTTCCCAGCCTGGTGCAGGTCTACAATTTTGTTTCTGGTGTCCTTTGACAGCTCTTTGGTCTTGGCCATAGTGGAGTTTGGAGTGTGACTGTTTGAGGTTGTGGACAGGTGTCTTTTATACTGATAACAAGTTCAAGTTCAAACAGGTGCCATTAATACAGGTAACGAGTGGAGGACAGAGGAGCCTCTTAAAGAAGAAGTTACAGGTCTGTGAGAGCCAGAAATCTTGCTTGTTTGTAGGTGACCAAATACTTATTTTCCACCATAATTTGCAAATAAATTCATAAAGAATCCTACAATGTGATTTTCTGGAGAAAAAAATTCTCAATTTGTCTGTCATAGTTGACGTGTACCTATGATGAAAATTACAGGCCTCTCTCATCTTTTTAAGTGGGAGAACTTGCACAATTGGTGGCTGACTAAATACTTTTTTCCCCCACTGTATGCTGACGACTCAACAGTATACACTTCGGCTATGACAGTAAAATAAGTAACTGACACCCTTAACATAGAGCTCCAGTCAGTATTAGAATGGGCAACTAGCAATAGGCCAGTGCTAAATATCAAAAAAACTAAAAGCAGCGATTTTGGGACAAATCACTCGCTCAATGCTAAACCTCATTTAGATCTATTATTGAGTAAATGTGGCAATTGAGCAAGATGAGGAGACTAAACTGCTGGGTGTAACCCTAGATAGCAAGTTGTCATGGTCAAAACATATAGACTCAATGGTTGCTAAAATGGGAAGAGGTCTGATAAGGCTTTGCTCTGCTTGACATCAGTCGACAGGCCCTAGTTTTGTCGCACCTGGACTACTGCCCAGTTGTATGGTCATGTGCAGCAAAGAGGGACATTGGTTAATTGCAGTTGGTCCAGAACAGAGCCGCATGTATTGCACTTAGATGTACACGGAGGGTGAATGCCAGTAACATGCATGTCAATCTTTCCTGGCTCAAAGTTGAGGAGAGATTGACTGCATCACTATTGGTCTTTGTGCAAGGTGTTGAAGGTCCCAAACTGTCTGTTAAAGCAGTTGGCACACAGTTCGGACACTCATTGGTACAACACAAGTCATGCAATCAGAGGTCTCTTCACAGTCCCCAGGTCCAGAACAGAGGATGGGAAATGTACAGTATTAAATAGAGCCATGACCACATGGAACTCTCTGTCACCCCAGGTAAAGAGGGGCACAGACATTCTTCTACATTTTGTATTGTATTATGTATGTGATATGTGGTTGGGATACGACTGTGATATGTGGTTGTTTCACCTGGCTATCTTAAGATGAATGCACTAGCTGTGGGTCGCTCTGGATGGGAGCATCTTCTGAATGGCTAAATTGTAATGCAAATGTAGTGCTATGGATGTATATTTCTGTATATTATGTATTTTATTTGTTGTGTTGTTTCCTGTTCGGACCCCAGGAAGTGTAGCCGCTGCCTCAGCAGCAGCTAATTGGGGATCCTAATAAATACCCCCAAAAATACTCAAGATCTGGAACGGCTTATAGGGCAGGAGCCATGTTCCGTTTCTGAAGCGTGAGGCAGAGGCAGGAGATTATGTAATATTATGTAGTGTTATGTATATGATATATATGATGTATTTTATTTGTTGTTTTGCTTTCTGTTCGAACCCCAGGAAGAGTAGCTGCTGCCTTGGCAGCGGCTAATTGAGGATCCCAATAAATACTACTAATACTATTTCCTGCTGCGCCAAATGCCACCATTTGGCGGCAGCTATCCGTCTGTGGATCATCAGGCAGCCAAACCCACTGTCTGCAGCCTGGGTGAATCCGTCCAGGGCCTCTTGAAGCAGGTCCTGCACCAGCACCATACAGTTCCATATGTTCTCCAGCAGGAACCGCAGGTGGAGGTCTCCCTCCCCTGCACCACTACCATCTCCCTGCTGGGCCTGTCCACCGCTGCTCACCGCTATGAGCATCATGCTGTCCTGAAACTCCCTCCACACCACACTGCCTCCACAGTCTGTCTCACAGCTGGCCAGCACCATCCCCTGGCCCACTCTGAACATGTGCACCCTGTTCCGGGAGATGAGGATGGAGAAGAGGAGCTACTTGGAGGCCCTCCGGGTGAAGAGGGGAACCCCGCTGTTAGCCGTGAGGCAAAGGAGCTGCACAGAGCCAGCCTGTTGGAGCATCATGGGGCTGGGGTGGCCAGGCGCTGTCCTCCTGAACCATCCACTGGTCCTTTGGTTTGATGAAGGAGAAGACTCAGCTCTAGTCCATGGTTACAGTGCACTTGCAAGAAGACCAGAGCAGATGCCTGCAACAAGATAATAGCTAGTGATTACAGAATGCATACTCGCAGATGTGTATTTGAAGACACCTTTTAAAGCTGCAATATGTCACTTTTTGGGCGACCAGACCAAATTCACATAGACATGTTATAGATCTGTCATTCTCATTGAAAGCAAGTCAAGGAAGATGTGTGCTATTTCTATGCTTCCCATTCCTAAGTTTTGTTTTTGCATCTTTTACTTTCAGTTTTGTACACCAGCTTCAAACAACTAAAAATACAATAGACTTGGTTATGGAAAATATATTTCACAGCGGTTTAGATGCTACAATGATTCTCTACACTCTATTTGCTTGTTTTGTCACGTGAACTGAAATTAGGCTAACTATTAGAATTTTTGCAACCAGGAAATGGCGGAGTGATTTCTGCATAGTGCACCTTTAAACATGTACAGTTGAAGTGAGAGGTTTACATACACTTAGGTTGGAGTCATTAAAACTCGTTTTTCAACCACTCCACAAATGTCTTGTTAACAAACTATAGTTTTGGCAAGTCGGTTAGGACATTTACTTTGTGCATGACACAAGTCATTTCCAACAATTGTTTACAGACAGATTATTTCACTTATAATTCACTGTATCGCAATTCCAGTGGGTCAGAAGTTTACATACACTAAGTTGACAGTGCCTTTAAACAGCTTGGAAAATTCCAGAAAATTATGTCATGGCTTTAGAAGCTTCTGATAGGCGAATTGACATAATTTGAGTCAATTGGAGGTGTACCTGTGGATGTATTTCAAGGCCTACCTTCAAACTCAGTGCCTCTTTGCTTGACATCATGGGAAATTCAAAAGAAATCAGCCAAGACCTCAGAAAAAATATTGTAGACCTCCACAAGTCTGGTTCATCCTTGGGAGCAATTTCCAAATGCCTGAAGGTACCACATTCATCTGTACAAACAATAGTATGCAAGTATAAACACCATGGGACCACACAGCCATCATACCGCTCAGGAAGGAGATGCGTTCTGTCTCCTAGAGATGAACGTACTTTGGTGCGAAAGGTGTAAATAAATCCCAGAACAACAGCAAAGGACCTTGTGAAGATGCTGGAGGAAACAGGTACAAAAATATCTATATCCACAGTAAAACAAGTCCTATATCGACATAACCTGAAAGGCCGCTCAGCAAGGAAGAAGTCACTGCTCCAAAACCGCCATTAAAAAGCCAGACTACGGTTTGCAACTGCACATGGGGACAAAGATTGTACTTTTTGGAGAAATGTCCTCTGGTCTGATGAAACAAAAATAGAACTGTTTGGCCATAATGACCATCGTTATGTTTGGAGGAAAAAGGGGAATGGTTGCAAGCCGAAGAACACCATCCCAACCGTGAAGCACGGGGGTGGCAGCATCATGCTGTGGGGGTGCTTTGCTGCAGGAGGGACTGGTGCACTTCGCAAAATAGATGGCATCATGAGGAAGAAAAATTATGTGGATATATTGAAGCAACATCTCAAGATATCAGTCAGGAAGTTAAAGCTTGGTCGCAAATGGGTCTTTCAAATGGACAATGACCCCAAGCATTCTTCCAAAGTTGTGGCAAAATGGCTTAAGGACAACAAAGTCAAGGTATTGGAGTGGCCATCACAAAGCCCTGACCTCAATCCTATAGAAAATGTGTGGGCAGTACTGAAAAAGCATGTGCGAGCAAGGAGGCCTACAAACCTGCTCAGTTACACCAGCTCTGTCAGGAGGAATGGGCCAAAATTCACCCAAGTTATTGTCGGAGCTTGTGGAAGTTAAACAATTTAAAGGCAATGCTACCAAATACGAATTGAGTGTATGTAAACTTCTGACCCACTGGGAATGTGATGAAAGAAATAAAAGCTGAAATAAATCATTCTCTCTACTATTATTCTGACATTTCACATTCTTAAAATAAAGTGGTGATCCTAACTGTTCTAAGACAGGGAAGATTTACTAGTATTAAAAGTCACGAATTGTGAAAAACTGAGTTTAAAGGTATTTGGCTAAGGTGTATGTAAACTTCCGACTTCAACTGTACCTACTTAGCCAACTAAACTCAACGGCCACGATTTACGATGGCGTTGAGCGGCGACTAGTGTGGGCGGACTGGAGCTCCGACGTCACGTAAAATGTTTTTTTTTTCCCCACTGCTCAACTCCAACGTAAATCATGGAGTTGAGTTTAATCGGTTACTAGCTACTATACATAGCTAGCTAGCTAAGCAAACAAGCAAAATATTAGCAATTTCTTTCACTGTTTGCAGGTCAGCTAAAGCTAGCAGCAAGCTAGTGGTAAACTTTTCACTATAAACAGAACGATATCAAAGATTGTTTAGAAACTCTGACGATATGCTCAAATTAAACTTGGTAATGTTAGCAAGCTGGCTATTCTACCGAAAGACGTAGCAATGTGAATGTGTGGCTGGAAACTAGCTAGCTATCTATCTAGCTAGCTAAAGTGAACAAAGTTGACTCCACTCACATTTCCACAGCAACTGGCCGCCCTCACACAATACAAGCCACTACTTCGGGCAGAGTCCTATCCAGCTGGCCGTACACCGCATACAGGGCAAGCGCATTCGTCACCAGCACAAGCAGTCTCAGCTTCCCCAGCCCATCATGCCAAACACCATTGCCAGTGTGCCGAAGCCGGATAAAGGACAGTGTGGTTCAGCATAAGACCATGTAGAACCACCATAAAACAAATATGGATATTTTCTATCAATCTTCAAAACTTGTCTGCCTTTATGGATTCACAGAACATATTTCTATAAGCTGTACAGGGCTCTGTAGCATCAAACTGATGTTAGACATTCAGATTTCCAAATAATGTTTATTTGTCCAATTCTAAAATAGCTCACCACATCAGTCACTGGCTTCATCAATAAGTGCATCGATGACGTCGTCCCCACAGTGACCATACGTACATACCCCAACCAGAAGCCATGGATTACAGGCAACATCCGCACTGAGGTAAAGGGTAGAGCTGCCGCTTTCAAGGAGCGGGACCCTAACACGGACACTTATAAGAAATCCCACTATGCCCTCAGATGAACCATCAAACAGGCAAAGAGTCAATACAGGACTAAGATTGAATCGTACTACACCGGCTCTGACGCTCTTCGGAGGTGGCAGGGCTTGAAAACTATTACAGACTACAAAGGGAAGCACAGCCGCGAGCTGCCCAGTGACACAAGCTAAATCACTTCTATGCTCGCTTCGAGGCAAGCGACACTGAAGCATGCTTGAGAGCATCAGCTGTTCCGGATGACTATGTGATCAAGCTCTCTGTAGCCGATGTGGATGAGACTTTTAAGCAGGTCAACATTCACAAGGCCGCAGGGCCAGATAGATTACCAGGACGTGTACTCCGAGCATGCGCTGACCAACTGGCAAGTGTCATCACTGACATTTTCAACATGTCCCTGATTGAGTCTGTAATACCAACATGTTTCAAGCAGACCACCATAGTCCCTGTGCCCAAGAACACTAAGATAACCTGCCTAAATGACTACCGACCCGTAGCACATCTGTAGCCATGAAGTGCTTTGAAAGTCTGGTCATGGCTCACATCAACACCATTATCCCAGAAACCCTAGACCCACTCCAATTTGCATACCACCCCAACAGATCCACAGATGATGCAATCTCTATTGCACTCCACAGTGCCCTTTCCCACCTGGACAAGAGGAACACCTACGTGAGAATGCTATTAACTGACTACAGCTCAGCATTCAACACCATAGTGCCCTCAAAGCTCATCACTAAGCTAAGGACCCTGGGACTAAACACCTCCCTCTGCAACTGGATCCTGGACTTCCTGACGGGCCGCCCCCAGGTGGTAACGGTAGGTAACAACACATCTGCCACACTGATCCTCAACACAGGGGCCCCTCAGGGGTGCATGCTCAGTCCCCTCCTGTACTCCCTGTTCACCCATGACTCTATGGCCAGGCACGACTCAAACACCATCATTAAGTTTGCCGATGACACAACAGTGGTAGGCCTGATCACCGACAATGATGAGACAGCCTATAGGGAGGAGGTCAGAGACCTGGCCGTGTGGTGCCAGGATAACAACCTCTCCCTCAACGTGATCAAGACAAAGGAGATGATTGTGGACTACAGGAAAGAAAAGAGGACTGAGCACGCCCCCATTCTCATCGACGGGGCTGTAGTGGAACTAGTTGAGAGCTTCAAGTACCTTGGTGTCCACATCTCCAATAAACTATCATGGTCCAAACACACCAAGACAGTCGTGAGAGCACGACAAAGCCTATTCCCCCTTAGGAGACTGAAAAGATTTGGCATGGGTCCTCAGATCTTCAAAAAGTTATACAGCTGCACCATCGAGAGCATCCTGACTGGTTGCATCACTGCCTGGTATGGCAACTGCTTGGCCCCCGACCGCAAGGCACTACAGAGGGTAGTGCGTACGGCCCAGTACATTACTGGGGCCAAGCTTCCTGCCACCCAGGACCTCTATTCCAGGCGGTGTCAGAGGAAGGCCCAAAAAATGATCAACGATTCCAGCCACCCTAGTCATAGACTGTTCTCTCTGCTACCGCACGGCAAGCGGTACCGGAGTGCCAAGTCTAGGTCCAAAAGGATTCTTAACAGCTTCTACCCCCAAGCCATAAGACTCCTGAACAGCTAATCATGGATACCCGGACTATTTGCATTGCCACCACCCCACCCCAACCCCCTATTTTATGCTGCTGCTACTCTGTTTATTATTTATGCATAGTCACTTTAACTCTACCCACATGTACATATTATCTCAATTACCTTGACTAACCAGTGCCCCAGCACATTGACTCTGTACAGGTACCCCCTGTATATAACCTCCCTACTGTTATTTTATTTTACTGCTGCTCTT